GAAGGAAGGAAGGAAGGAAGGAAATGTAAATAGTATTTACGTATTTGTTGGGCGAAGTAGTTTATCACTGAAGCTTTCTTCTACGCTTGTATTCTTGATCTTTTAAGGGAGTGGATACGGCAGAACAAAGAAAATATGCAGAACTACAGAAGGCAAAAGATGAAGGTGAAAAGATTAATAATACTAATAAAGATAGTTAATTATTCATAAGTGGGCTCATATCTATAGTTTAGACTTTTTTTTCTCAAACCACTAAGACTCAAACCATACAATCCTAACATCTAATTCTTAAAAGTGCCTTTTGCTTTATAGTCTATGGGCTATGTCTGCATAATGGAAAATAAAGTTTGCTTTCCTGGATTTGGCCGATTTCTCAACACTTTTATTGTCTCACTAACTACTCAGATCAGTAGCCATATGTCCGTCTTTGGAAATCACAATAAATGGATTAATGTAAAAAGAAACCTGCAGTATCAAAGTAATTGGGGTTTCTGGGGGACAAGGAGTGCCTTTGAATTCATGCTGACTCCTGACAACTGCCTGAACTAGTCCTTGCAGTTTTCTTGGCAGAATTTTTCAGAAGTGATTTATCACTGTCATCTTCCTGGGACTGAGAGTGACTTGGGCAAAAGGCTTCAGGCCTCAGGCATGAATTAGAACTCAATCTTCCTGTGTTTAGTCTGGTGTCCAGACTAACTGGCTCTCATGGATCATACAGGATGAACAAATCTTAAGAGAGTGTTGAGCCTTTGTATCATTAATAGATAAGAGAAGAAAAATCTGATCTGAGAAGTTTGGTATAGAAATATTGACAGGAAGTTCAACACTTATGGGCACTGAGTTGTGTATATATGTACTCAACATTCAGTAAACACAGCTATCAATATTTGCTGAGCGTAGTTGTCATTCCTCTTCCTGGCACAGAGCCTCCATATTTGTGGGACAGTTTGTTTCCAATTATCTCTGTTCATCCTATATATTATAGGCCCGGGAAACATGCCTGACATGCCTTCTCTGCCCTATGGAAAAGCCTTCCTCAAAATTTGATTGGCCCCAACTCTGCCAGCCCTCAGAAGGCTCTTCTCCTAGATGCAGGCCCAGGATTGTAGATGAGCTTGTTGCAGTATATGACTTGTATTCTGGCTCCTAGATATATACTTTATGTTATTGTGTTTTATTACTTTATCATTTCCCTTTGCATCCAATCTTGTCAATGCTATTGGCTGCCAGGAATTGCCAATGGAATGAAGAAATAATCCTTACATGAATCACTTGCTCCTCAGTTACATGATCAGGAGGGAAATTCCATCCCTTTACTACATGGTCCAAATGGCCTCTGAAACCATCCCATTTATTCTTTATCTACCCCCTTCTCTCAGAGGGATGGGGCAGGGAGCTGACTTGAAAGACCTCTGTGGAAAACATTTCATTAAGTTAAGGCTCTGAGCAGGACTGTTAAGGCAACTCCATTATACCCACAAGAGTTATCATTTGGTCATAAAAGCCTTCTGAACTAAGGCTTTCTTTCGTGACCCTAATCCTCAGGAAGGGAGAAAAAAATCCCCTTGGAGGGTGAGGAGAAGGGCTGCTCTCAGGCCTTGCTAATTAGCAAGGACACTGCTCACTTCTTGAGGCTATACTACCCTGGCTCTTTGCAGCTGCTTCTTCACCTTAGTGGCCCTAGTCAAACTAACTCTCCAGTCCTATCTATTCAACTTTTAATTGTGGATCCTGCCTCCTTTCGGAGGGTTGGCCGCCTTCCAACTTGTCTTTTACCTGCCTTGGATTCTCTATCCCTGCTTCTAGTGTGTCTGAAGTTTGCTTTGCTACCCTGAGATTGTTGTAGGTCACACACCTCTTTCTACCCCCTCAGACTGACTGCTCCTGAAGTTCCAGGCCTTTGAGGCCTGTAGCTTGAATCCCCAGAGACTAGACACTCTAGGATTTGTAGTTTAAGAGAAGGAGAGAAGCACGCCACCCTATAGGACAATCTCTTTCGTGCACTACAACTCCCAGAATGCTTCTGGTTGGCCAGTTTGATATAATGTGAACGTGTCTGGTTAGAAATCATGAGACTGTGAGTTCCAGTCTTGCCTTTGGTACCAAGCCAGCTGGGTGACCTTGGGTCTGTCACTCTCCCTCAGCCCTTGGAGGAAGAGGATAAGGGCAAACCATTTCACAAAAACCATTTGCAAGAAAACAGTAGGCTCTAGTCCCTAGTCACCAGGAGTCTGCATACACATACACACACAAAAAACCCTTATTTGAAGGGATTAAGAAACCCAATATTTTTTTTTCTTAAAGGGATAAGGTATGTGGAAGAGCAGGCTTTTTAGCAAAATTGCAGATACTTGTGGGGCCTCCCATCCCTCCTGTTTGAGCCTTTTTCCCAGTGTCAGCAGAGTGGAATAGTCAATAAGCTGCAACCTTGAAACAAGTGTGGGAAGAGATGCATGTTTTAGAAGATCTGCAGCCACCAGTTATACTAAATAGTGCAAAGCAGCTAAATTTTAAAAAGGGATTTTTTTTTCTTCAAAGGGTTTGGAGGAAAAAGGATAGAGGCAGAGCAAGCAAAGCAAAGCAAATAGGTATAAATGCTCTGTATGTTAGCCATTAACAGATGAAAAAAAAGCAGAAGAAATCCTAGAGAGAGGAGGGTAGGGAGATTAAGGCAGGAGACACAACAAGATTTGTAAAAAGAAAACATTGCTAGTGATAGATGTTTTTTATCAGGGCAACTGCCCAATTATGGGATGGCGCATACTGCTCCACTTTTGCCTTTCAGCCCCAATCCAGGAGCCTTCACAGGCAGTTGCTTTCGTAACAAACTATTTTTGTGTTGAATTTATGTTTTACCAACAAAGAAATAAAGGGAGACTAGTATAGATCTATTTCAAGCTATTTAGCTCTCATCAGCTAGCCATACCCTTCTGGGATTTGAATCTGGGCTACTTGCATATTAGGTAGATGTATTAACCTCTAAGCTATGGGCTCTCCTCACTTTGTTGGCTATATCAGGGGAAATGCCCTGATAAAAAACACTTAATCTTTCACCTGGTGTAGTCGACCATGGGGATGCTACAATTGTCATAAATGTGAGAAATGGTCATAAGTCATTTTTTTCAGTGTCTAACTTTGAAAGATCACTAAACAAACTGTTGTAAGTCGATGACTATCTGTATAGAGGAAATATTATAATAGTAATTGAATAGTATAATGAAGTATAATAATTGTTGTAGTATCAGTAATTAGCATCGTGATATAAAAATAGCAATATAATATAGGGTAGAGACTCTAGAGTTCCCCAACAACTTGTCTCATGTTTGAATCTACACTGATGACAAAGTTCTCCCACCATGTTGTATAAGGGAAAGGAGTGGGAAAGCTCATATACTCGAGCATCAAGTCAGAGGACTTCACTGAATTTCAGCTGATAAACCAATTGCAACCCTGTCTGAACCAACATACACTGACCACACTAACACACTTCAGTTGGACTTCTGCAATGTGGTGTACTTGGGGCTATCTTTGGAGACAATCTGGATGCTTCACTGGTACAAACCAGTGGTGGGTTGCTCCCGATTCTGTCCGGTTCTATAGAACGGGTAGTAAAACCATCAGGAGGCTCCGCCCACCCCACACAATGTCATAATTGGTGCATGCGCAGAAGAGCACGCGCGCACGAGTGATCCCACTGTGAACTGGTAGTAAAAGTAAGTGGAATCCACCCCTGGTACAAACCATCGTAACAAGTATGCTGTTGGAACAATCCCACCAGTTAGAATACCACCTAAATCAAAGGCATTGAGTATACTCATTGCCAATAGGCTTATATACTTGATTCAAAGTATGGTCATCACCTTAGGGAGCCACAAAGACAATCTTGCAGAAATTATTCAGAGGTGGTTACACACCCCATATATAAAACATGCATTGAGGAAATAGAGAATGGAATGGGAAGAATTCCTGACTGACTGCTCCCTGGAATATAAAATGGAGGGAAAGGAAAAGAAGTCATCCTTGCAGGATTCTATTATAATAGCCTTGTTTCTGAACCTGTTTTCTCTGGAAGTACCCTTGAAACAATTTTCAGGGAACCCCTGCATAAACATGAATTATATCTACAGTTTATGGTACAATAGAGTCATCAGTACATTTTTCACATTTTTTGTTAAAAAATAGAAAGCAGTTAACAAAGTACATTAGAGCACGCAGTGGATCACTGCCTCATGTTCTGTTACTGCATATTTGCACAGTTCTGAAAGATTTATTCAGTCTTGCTAATTGTCATCTTTTCATATTTGTGTTTATATAAAAGTGTTGACCCTGTCAATGTCATTTCATGTATAATTTGAGTCTCACTTTCTTAAACTGCACAAAGTAGATCATTAAAAGAAATATATAATTTAAAGCATGTTAAGTTCTAAGTAGTTTCTTTATTTCATTTTGTTTGAAGTAGATGTTTATGTTTATATATTATCATTTGTTATTGTGAGTTCAATAATTACAGTAATAACATAAAGATGGGATACTTTTTAAAAAGTACTTAAAAATCATTTTCCCAGAAATTAAAGCATTTGCCAAATGTGAACTTCATGCATGTGAAGATCCCGTTAAACTTTGAATAAATAATCTCATTAAATTAAAAATTCTGATGAAAATATAAAGGTAAGAACTTGTCTTTCTGTTATAAGTCTACTCAATTTCTTTTGAGTACAAGGTTTTCTTCAATAGCACCCTGTTTAGTAAGCATTTATTTTAGATTAAGCATTTATTTTAGATTAAGGTTTTGTTTTGTTTTGTTTTTAAAAGCATGCAATATTTTATAATATAAAATATTTTAAATATTTTTATAATATAATATCAGAAAATTTTTTATACTCTAATTATAAATTTTTATAGATTATAAAATTTTTTATAATCTATAAAATCTAAAAGATTTTATAATCTTTTATCAGAAAAAAAATCGCACCATCTCATATAATATCAAAGAAACTTACCTCTTAGAAATTGCTGACATAAAAATACACCAAGGTTCTGTCCTCAGCCTGATGAACTGTTTAATGTCATACTGCACAGAAAGTTTTGCTAATTATCTCCAATACCTAACATAATATATGCTGCAGAGCTCCACCCCTTTTTACTGTTTCACCCTCCACATTTAATAACAGCTAATTAAATCATTCTGAAAAACTTGGCTCACAATCAAAATCCATGTGTCTTCTATGCTACAAGTGACCTGCCTGTAATAAATTGGCAATATATCAAAGTCTGGCTAGAAATGGCCAATATAATAAAGACAAGTTTGGCTTAATTTTTTTTTCTCTGCATCCAGCATAATTGAGTCTATTAAGTTCAACCTTTCAAATAGCCAATTCCAGAAAAGTTAGACAGTGCGAATTGAGTTTTTACTTCTGCTAAATAATAAATAAACCTTGATAGAAAGAAAACATGATATCCTTATTCCTTGCCTATTTAAAAAAACACGATGTCAATCATAGCTTCTTCAGAAAGAATGATAAATGAGTGTGTTTTGCCAAGAGGAAGGCCAATTCAATACTAAATGTCAAGGTTAATTTTGATTCAGGGTTAGTGATACTTAACGTTTCAATATTTACATATTTTAAATAAATACTAATCATTATTAGTTTATTTCACACACCTTTCAGTGGTCCCCAGGGATCCTAAACATTTTGCCATCACATGTCCCTTTAGTGTAATGTTAATGTGTACACTTCCTCAAAAAATCCAAATACCACAAATTAACAATGAAAACAGTACATTGAAACTCTGGGAAAGATGGCTATATTGTATCAATATTACTAAAAGGTTCTTCACACTTCTGGACACCAAGGGGATACACCGCACATTGAGCTACAGATAGCCCTCGAGATACAACCGTAATGGAGGCTGCCCATTACAACTGCATGTCACAATAGTCATTAAGCAAAATGACCTCACTTAACAACTGCATACCTTGTTCTCCCTGATGCCACCATTAAATGTGAGAGTTGTTAAATGAAACAGAGGATGCTTCAGGGGTGGGGGCTCAGATCTCACTTCTCTTGTTTGTTGGAGTTTGCAGGACTCAACCTGTTCCACGACCCAGCATCACCCAACTTATCTTTCTGGTTTTTTTGTAGCTTCTGAGGTAGACACTTGACCTGATACAGGATCAGTTTCTTTCAGACCCAACTACATGGCAAATTAAGTCCTACTACTGTGCAACAGATTCTACTCTTAGAATACTGTCAAGTTTTTTTAAGGAGGTTCTATTTTATAAGTAGGCTTCATTTGTTTGTGAAGGGATATGATGGCTCAGTGGTTAGGACGCTGAGTCTTAGAATGCTAAAGATCCAAGTTCTGTGAGATGGACTGAGCTCCCGTCACTTGTCCCAAGTCCTGACAACCTTAGAATCTTAGAATAACAGAGTTGGAAGGAACATTGGCAGTCTTCTAGTACAACCCCCTGCTTACACAGGAAACCCTATACCATTTCAGTTAAATGGTTGTCCAATCTCTTAAAAACTTAAGAGCTTCACAGCTTCTGGAGGCAAGTTGTTTTACTGATTAATTGTTCTGTCAGGAAATTTCTTCTTAGTTCTTCTCTCCTTGATTAGTTTCTATTCATTGCTTCTTGACCTACCTTCAGGTACTTTGGAAATACCTTGACTCCCTCTTCTTTGTGGCTGTGCTTGAAATATTGGAACACTCCTATCATGTCACCCCTCGTCCTTCTTTTCATTAAACTACACATACCCAGTTCCAGCAACCTTTCTTTATATGTTTTAGCCTCCAGTCCCCTAATCATCTTTGCTGCTTAGGTGACTGAAGCAGTGGTGGGTTCTAACCAGTGTTACCACCAGTTCGCTTCGCGCACGTGCTTTGCAGCATGATGACATGCCAGACACAACCACAGAAACATTTCCAGGCAACTCTGGCTCTTTGGCTTAAGAAATGGAGATGAGCATCACCCCTTAAAATTGGTCATGATTAGCAAGGTAAAATGTCTGTTTCAATCATCCAGGTCATGATTGTCCCAAAAGTGCTTTTTCAAAAGACAACTTTCTTTGCTTTTCCTTGAAGACATTTTGCTTCTCATCCAATAAGCTTCTTCAGTTCTGACTGAATAGTGGAGAGAGGAAGGTTGTATATTTCCTTGCAGTCATCTGGTCATTAACACTCTTTCTGAGAGTCATTGAGGCCACTTGGAGGTTTATTTGTGTCACCTGATTGTTGCCACCTGGTGCAAATGGGTGTGGAACCTTCTTGGAACTGCTGAAAGGACTGTGTTGTAAACAGGAGATAGGTGATGTCGTATCCCTCCCCCTCTCTTGAGAGAGGGCTGTTTAGTGGATGACCTCTTTGACTCCTCTTTCAAATCACTGGTCTTCTCTGTCCAGTATGTGGACTTTGCTGTCTTCAAAAGAGTGGCCTTTGTCTTTCAAATGCAGATGGACTGCTGAATTTTGTCCTGATGGATTTGTTCTCCCATGTTGTGCCATGCATTTGTGACGTGGTTGTTTTGCTTCTCAATGTACGGATTTGCACATGTCTCACTGTATTTTACTGCAGATATACACATTGCTCAGTTTATGTCTGGGTGTTTTATCATTGGGGTGAACAAGCTTCTGCCTTAGTCTATTGTAGTGTTTAATGTGTGCATGTATGCTGTGCTGCTGGAAAATCCTCCTGAGCTTTTCAGTTATTCCGGCAACATATGGAATGACTACATTGCTTTGTATATTGTTTTCTTCTTTGTCCAAATCAAAAAAAAAGATCCAGCAGAAGCTCCTCCTTAACAGACAAAGAAGAGATGATTCATGCCTCTATAGTTGCCTGATGTCCCTTGAGTGGATGTGTGAGGGAACCAGCAGACTGAGATGGATGGGTGAGTGAGTGCTGTAGCATCCCTGCAGTCAATCCAGAGGACAAATGACTGTAGGGGTGCTGCAGCTGCCATAACTTTGAAACCCAGTTGTAAGTCGATTTTGGGGAGTTTGTTGTAACTTCAAATGGTCACTAAATCACCAGTTGTAAATTGAGGACTACTTGTACTCAACTAAGACTCCACATGCAAGAGGTGGAAAGTGGTAACCTTACCATTGTCAACCCAGCAATTGTTCTTACATTTAGTATTGCTTTAGCACAGGGGTGTCAAACTCAATTTCATTGAGGGCCAGATCAGGGTTGTGTTTGATCTCGGGGGCGGCAGGGGGGGCATGGGCAGAGAGAACACAGTCAGCTTGATGTCACTTGTGTAAGAGGCACCTGTGGCAGCCCAAGCACTCTTCCAATGAAAACAGGCTCCTGAGCTCCGTGTTTGGCTGCGACAACCTCCTGCAGCTCTCTGCCAGCGAAAACGGAGTTCAGGAGGGTGACCTACGGCCCTCCTGAGCTCAGTTTTTGCTGGCAGAGGTACTATGGGCCGGTCCTTTTTTAGCTTCCAGGCGGCCCCGTGGGCCAGATCTAAGCACCCTGCAGGCCAGATCCGGGCCCCGGGCCTTGAATTTGACACCCTTGCTTTAGCAAAATAGCAAAACTTTTTTTTTGATTGTTTAACACATTTAATTTAATCTTTTATAGTTAATTTAACTATGCTTTAAACAATTAGTAGATTATTCTACGTTATATGACACAATACGATATTACATGACACTACACTACACTATACAAGTCAACTTCTTACTTTGACATAGTGTAACATCCAAAATTACTGTTCAGCTTTGCCAGCATAAAGATAATACTGTTCCTTTGTTTCTAATCTGTGCCAGGTAAGGAATCTGTATTCTTCACTTGGGGCAAATTGGGAAGTAATAGATACTGTTTCTTCAGAGCCTGGAATGCAGCCATTATTATATGTCCAAGAAAGTAAGACTTAACCTGAAAGTTCATGCTTTTGGTTGCTTGGAGATATGTAAATACAGTATCATAACTTTGCCCCATTTTCTTCTGTCCTTCTAACAGAACTTTGTTACAGTAAAATTCTGTAAATAATTTCTGTCTATGGGTATGTATTCCTTTATGCATATCCCTTCTCCCTTCTCCCCTTTGAAATATCTTTTTGAATAAAGTATGCTTTCAATTTCTGTAATGCAATTCTGATGATCACTTCATTACAGTAATATCTATTGATACTAGTACAAGCACTCCTGCATTAATCTATCAAGTTTATCCTGTTTGCTCTCTATGCTTAATACATTCCACTATACACATTGGCAGCCAAGGTATTGAATTCTTTTCGATTCTTTGCTACGATAATATGATCGTTCCACCTCATTGGCTTTACCACTTCCTTTTTCCTTTATGTTCTTATCCTCTTATTCACAAACTATGTCCTGGTTGATAACTGTAAGCTTTCATAAACCATCCACCCAGTGATTAACCTTATATCCTTATGTGGATGATTATTTGTCTAATTGTTCTTTAATTGTTTTTATCAACCCTCAAAAAGATTCCAGGCAGTTAGAACAAGTGCATGTGTGCAAGAAAATATGTACCCCATCATACTGGAAATTCCCTTATTTGTCCAAATCCTGAATTGCTTTTAAGGTATTTGGAGACTTATTACTTATTATCATTTTAGGTCAGGGTTCCCCAGCCTTGGCAACTTGAAGTTTCCAAGATTGGGAAGCCCTGCTTTAGATGAAAAACATGGCTTCAAAGTATCTGCCCATTCCAATAGTTTTAATAGGATGGGTGTGCTTCAGGTCCCTTCTCGTAAATGTTGTCATCTAGTGGGACCTAGGAATTGTGACTTCTCCATAGTGTCCCCACCCTGTGGAACACAGTTCCCTCTGAGAGAGCCCCTTTTTTTCTAGACTCTAATTGATTGATTAATTGATTATGTACCATTAAGTCATTTTAAATTCTTAGTACCACCAGAGATTGATTTTCTCCATGATGATCTGTCCCTAACCTGATCCTTCAGCACTTCCAATGTACCCCAATCACAATTGTAACTGAGTTTATCCACTTGCTGCTGGTCATCTTCTTCTCTCTTTCCTTCTATCTTTTCCAGCATTATCTCTCTTTTCCAGAGAGCTGAGTGCTGTCCTCTGAGGAGACCATAAAGACCTGC